GATCTGGTAAGGCGAGACATCACTTTTGGCAGGAGGCGCTCGATACGCTCCCACTGCTTCAAGCGAACATGGACTCCATCTCACCGAGATATATCTTCCATAAGCCATATAAAGTTATAATAGAACAAATAGAAGAGCCAGAAGTGGCAGGTACGATTCATATCTACACCGACGGTTCTAAAACAAAACAAGGCTCAGGTTGCGGAATATACTCCAGGTTCTTAAACCTAAACATAAAATGGGCTGTGAGCAATAGTGCCAGTGTAGTTCAAACAGAGCTAACGGGGATTCTCATAGCAACAAAAGAAATAACCAGAAATAATATCACTGGAAGGAACATACTCATCTATACAGATAGCAGACGAGCACTACTCATCCTGAACAGACCACGAATTTATTCAGGGTTACTACTAGAATGTCATGAAGCTTTGGCCGAAGTATCCATCAACAATGTGGGTGGTGGGAGAGGTTAATAAGATTAATAAAAGAACTTTTGCGTCGTAACTTGGGTAAAGCATCTTTGTATTATGTAGAGCTTTATACCATTCTATGTGATATTGAATCGGTCATAAATCAAAGACCGCTAACATACGTGTCAGAGGATGATTGGGAAATTTTAAGTCCGTCCAAATTTATAAAACCACTACAGGGTGCGTCGAACCTGTCAGAATCCGCACTCTGCAGAGGGTGCGAACAAGAAGATGAGACCATGGAGCATATCCTTTACGATTGCCCGACGCTCTCATTTATTAGAAGATTTGTGTTCGGCGAGTATCGGCTAACACCGGCCGATATAAGAGAAGCACCTCTTGGCGACTTTGTCAACTACATTAAATCTGTAGGCTGGCTGACGAGCTAGGAGGTCCTATCATCTTAGGAGGATGCACAATGGGCCTAATGAGGCTTAAGTGCCGTGGGGGTAACCCACCCTCCACACATTACAGATACAGAGATGCATATGATTATTTATATATGTTTTGATTTCACTGTTTATGGAAAAGGTATAAATTATGATTTCAATAATTTAGCATACCATCTGGCGCAAGCGTCTTTCGCCTGGTACCAAGCTAACGGCCTACCGTGTCATCTGTTGGTGAATTTATTTTCTTTTTGGGTTCATGCATATGACATATACATTATTTTAATTTCTTACCGTATCTAGCTGTTATTTTATTTATGAATTCATCAAAAGCCATAAAGTAAATTATTTATGAGGTTTGTTGAGCAGTTTAAATATTGTCTTTCTTTAGAGTTAGTTCTTGAACTCTAACTTTAAGTTTGTTGGTTCTATTTTAGCAAACAGATTTGTTTCTTAAATATAATTGTTTAAATTAAAATTGTTAATTATTGGGAAAATTGATAATTTTTAATAAAGGAACGTAAGTTGAGGTTTGTTTTTTTTTCTTTTCTCGTTTGCTGGGTTTGTGGGGAAATAGGAACATAGTTTGGCTACTATATAGACTCAGTTGTCCCCTAGCTGCCGTCTGAGTGACCTCGAAGGCTCAAAGGTTGACACCGGAACAACCGAAACTTGTGTAACCGTAGTAGACAAAATTTTATTGATCAAATTATTTTTTTTTATTTTTTAAGTTTAATTTCAGGCAATTCCCTTCTGGAAGTTGCTTAGAACGTTTGGTAGGTTACATAGATTATGATAATCAGTATTATACCAAAGAACATATTAATTTAGGACTTGTTGAAAGACTTCAACATATTATCGTTCATCAATACATCTCTCCTAAAGCGCCTTTGGCGTTTAACGAAACAACGTAATTTTTCGTCACAACGACAAATTACCAATAGATAATATTATGTGAGCGCTTCCTTACAGACGATTGGTCAGAATCTAACCGACGTTAGATGCTGATCTGAGCTGCTTCTCTTCACCTTGGCAAAATGCAATTATCACTCAACTGAATAACATTTTCTTTACTCGTTTATGTTTAAATTTGTTCTTTTATGTTAAAATTACACAATGACAAAGCTGTGATAAATTTCTCGGGTAATAATGCTTTAATAAGTAAAAAAATGTAGTGGTGTGTTATAAAAGTTATACTACGAAATTTCAAGATTAAAAAGGGTTTTAATGTTGTTGATAATTTATATCTCATAAACAAGTAATACAAACCAGTGCAGTCTTCAATTTTGTTACAAAAGGTAAGAGCAAAACACATCAAGGACTGTATGTAGAGGTAAACTTTTAAGATCTACTTCTTACCTCATTCTGGTAGGAGAAAGAAGGGTAAGATCAGGTAGCTAACACTTTTCGGAATGTTGAAGCCAAACTACTCCAACTATAGAGCTTGCTTGATTGAACGACCTGACGTATTGTTTATCGTATCACAATATAATGTTTCAGAAAAGTCGTAGGTTCATTATACTTTTCCAGAAAAATATGTTTTTCTCAAAATGTCAAATCACCCGGTCTTATCCCACTAGTGGGGTAAGATCGGGTGCACATACTAACTTTATGGAAAACTACAAAAACTACATTGTAATTCAAAAAACTCTAAGAAAAAAATATTAATCTTAGATAAAAAAATCACATTGAAAGAAGGTATCTTCTTCGCCCGCTCCACTGCAGCCTTCGTGAGCCCAGTCAAGACACATTCCACATTGGATCCGTCCTTCTCCTTGTTTTGAGTTGAAAAAAGATTCGTTGCAGTATAAACAATGATCGTCGGATTTGTTATCTTCCCCATCAGAAGAATCATCAGTCGAGATCGAGGTCGAGGTTACAAGAATTTTTGAGGAGACTTTTTTCTTTCTCTGGGCCTTGGTACGCTTGTGTTTTTGTTTGTTTGGTTTTGATGTTGTCTTCTTATTTGATTTGTTGGAGTCATCAATAACCAATTTTCTTCTCTTTCATTTTCTTTTTTCTTTTCTTCTGACTGAGATTCGAGTTCTGTTTTGTTTGGTGAAGAAGTTTCCCTTTCCCTTTTCGTTTATCTGTTCTTTCTGTTTTCTTTCTTTCAGCAACAGGTGGTGGCATTAGATGTTTGGGTGATATAGCAAAAACTATTGATGCTGCTGGCTTTTCATCTGTAAAAATTTCTGGGTCTAAACTTTTAGAACAGCAGGGTTCATTTGGAAATGGTTCGTCAATATTGGTTTGTTAATCTCAACTACCGTTTCATACGTTCTTTGTGCAGGTTTTTCTTCTTTTGTTGGGTCCACTTGTAGAACAACATCTACTTCTGCCTGTGGGCGTGGGTCTCCTTCTTGAACAGAATTTGCCTCTACAGGAACAGGTCTATCTGTGGTTGTTGAGGGGGCAAACAGGTGATGGGGAAAAATATTTCGGTTTAAAGGGTAAATTCCTGTTTGCTTGAATCCATTTACTGCCGTCCGTATTCCTGCTGCCTTAAGGAAAACTGCACCATATAGCTTGGCTACTTGTTGAATTGTAACAGCTCTACCAGGATGTGTTGCAAGCCACTGGCGCACCTCCTGCTGATAATAGGTGCTCAATGGAGCCATAAAGGTCACGTCTAGCGGCTGGAGTCGATGAGAACAATGTGGTGGTAAGCACAACAACACAACATTGTTTTCTCTGGCCACGTTAATAAGTTCGAGACTCTTTGTGTGGGAAGTACGGCAGTCCAAAATCAGGAGGACTGGTTTTTCAGACGTTGGTTTAGAAAACTCAATAAATCTTCGAAACCAATACACGAAAATGTCTGTTTGCATCCATCCAGAAGGGTGATATTGAGCGAAGCTTCCCTGTGGTACATCGTCAAGCAGCGCAGGATTTTCTTTCTTTCGAGGAAAATAAACATTGTTGGCATAAAGTTTCTGTCCGCATTCATGCAAATCTCAGCAGTAATCAAAACGCCTCGTTCTGCTGATACCAATGCTCCAACCTGTTTTTTTCCTCGTGAAGCTAGGATTTTGGATGGTTTGTTGAGAACTGTGGTTATTCCCGTCTCATCGACGTTATAAATATCACTTGGAGAAAAATTGTGTTGTTCATACAAACCCTCCAACAGATCGAAATATTTATCAACAGCTTGCTTGTTAAATCCCATGGCCCTTGCTATTGAAGTGTTTTCTGGAAATCGAAGAGAAATATTGTTCTTATACCTTCTTAAAAAACCATATAACCAGTCTTTTCCGGCCATCTTGATTCATTTATTGAATTTGTGTTTCAAACTATTTTTAGTTGCAAGATTAAACGCTAATCTTCTGACATCACTCAAAGTTAAACCAAACAATCTACTCTCTAACAGCAATATGTGATCTAGTAATTCTTTTTCTTGCTCTTCAGAAAATATAGTCGTACAAGGTCCCAAGCTACCTTTTCTAGCGGCTTGGCTAGAAGTTAGTTGATTTGTTCTAACCTTTTTTACTCGATCTTCTAAAGTAGACTGCGAAACATTGAAGCTTTTGAGGCTTTTAGGTATCCCATGCATCCAGACAATACTTCCTCTATAGCACCTTCCATACTTTCCTGGCTCCAGGATTGCCGATTTGTTTTCCTCTCGTAAGTTCTAGGCATATTTACTCTGTAAAAAAATAGTTTTGAATAATAGGGTAAGACCGAGTAGTACCCGGTTTCGCCCCACCCGGTCTTATCCAAAGTATAGAATTTAAGAAAATGCTCTAAAACCACTATGATATTTAAATTATTCCTTCGTTTTTATGCATATATTAAACCTTATTTATCATATAATAGGTGACACTGAAGCAAGTTTTCAAAACTATAAATGCCAATAAGTAATGATCGTTTAAATTGGAAGCAACATTGGAGAAGCGACATGGAAAAACAAACTTACCTCAACTGCGTTCTCCAGCATCGACTCGATACTACTGCCACAGTTTATTGCTAAAGAATCAGTTCGCTCACTCTGCACACTGCACAACTCGGATTTTTATCCCTGGCGCATACAGAATCAAATCATCACCAATAAAATATATGACCACCGTCTTTATTCAAACAGCAGTCTTCTGCGCATCCTGAATTTGTATCCCTGGAGTAGATGTTATTTTGGAACATCCAACTAGTCCTAGTGAGCTAACTGATTCTTTAGCAATAAACTGTGCTAAGTCGTCTTAGCTTACGGATTGTATTTCACATTCTGTGCACCAGTTGGCATTAGTAGTAGCAACACAGTCATTGTACCTGATCTCACCCCGCTACCCGGTCTTACCCTCCTTTCCCCTATTTAGTTATTGTATCTGCTATGTCAGCCAACGAATTAAAAATATGAGAGGGAAACTAAAATTAATTGTTTCTTTTTTATAAATTTAATTTTATAAATATGAATGGCATTCTCCTTCGTTTTCAGCACACCACTGAGGAACGACGGCTTCAGCACTTATTTTTCTCTCAATTAAGCGTTCTCTGTGGGCAAAAAACCTTGTTTGAGCATAATCGGCAGTGGTTACAGGATCTGACCACATTCTTTCAGCTGCTGCCGCTGCCCTTGGCCATATTCTGGAATCTATGTTAGAGTCATCGACTAATTCTCCCCACATACAAACCTATAAAAATATAAAAAAACACTTTAAATGTAAAGTAAAGAGTGATATATAAAAACATGTTTATAAATATGCCATGACCGCCAATGATAGCGATACGATAACTATGCACGACTCTGAATTAAATTCAAATTGAAACTTACAAAATAGAAGAATTTTATACTTATAATGTATTGTATTTGTTGCACTAGTGTCACACTCGACATTGTATTCGAACTGTCATACTTGTCAAAAGTATCTACACTCAAGTATGTGTCAAATATTTGAAGCTACACTGAACAAATCAAATGTGATTAGTGCAGAAAACTTACACCTAGTGCAACAAATAAAAGCCACTATTAGATATGTGTGATTTAGAAACATTCTTTTTTGTTGATATCCGAATTTACTGGTTCATTTCTTACCTCGCCACCCAATATGGCTTTCGTATATTTCTCATATATTGGATTTTCATAGACAGTCTTCCATTTATAATAGTTAGTTGTTCCCCAGAAACCATGGTCAAGATACCACCTATCTTTAGTTGAAACTATCAGTTTGTATCCAAGCTTTATCAAATCAGTAATTAGATCATTATCACTTTCGGGTACCCAAGTTTGTATTATGTATCTGCAATAAAAATTCGTTACTGATACTTTTACTTGAAGAGAAAAGCTTTTAAAAATTATTAGTCTCTATGTTTCTTACAATCATGTTATGTTATGGGGTATTAATATAAGGCAACCTAAAATATGTATTAGGCCCCCTTTTGTTGCTAATAGAGCCAGCAAAGGAATAGTCTCGATGCCTATAACGACTCTACAAATCCTATTTTCTGAAGGAAATGAAGGATTTAGAGTGGCTTCAAGTTAGTTAGATCGCTCTCTTCTATTTGGCTTGACCTTGAATTTTGGATTACTACACATTTTTAGTCAGAATGCGCTCACTTTCTTCTGCTAATCCCAGTTTACTAAGGTGTCCTTTGAGTGGGCAATGCTTGGCAATGATACGAAGTATTCTCTTAACATTAGCTACTTTTAAGAGGGAATTGACTAACTTAAGAAGTATTTGCAAAACCAACTGGTTTTCTAAAATAATTTCCATCGTATTTTGCTTATTATTATATATTATTGTAAAGTTACCATCTCTCTTTTATAAGGCTAGTCCAGCTACTATGATAACTACAATATATCGAAATGATGTTTCACATCAATAATCGCCTGATAGTATATTCACGCGTAGAAGTCAATGAGCTGGAGTGGGGTAGAATGCTTGTCAATAGGCTTGAGATGCGACTCTATGGGCGAAGACAGGTTATTTTTCATCTCACTAGGGAGTATTTATAATAACCATTTTCTATTTCACATTGTAATTGTCTGATCCACCATTGAACTTAGATAAAAGAGACCAGAGATATAACATACACCGGTGTTTAACCTGCGCAAATGCTGCTAATTTCTAAAGAAAGGTTAACGGAGTGGGGGAACTGGGCAGGGACCCGAACTCTGTGACAGGGACATCATAATGAACTATTAGATTTATTAGAATATACATTCAATGGAATTTTGTATTTTGAAATAAATTTAACGTGATTTTTTAATATCAAACAGATGCCACGACATTTTATGTAAAGAGAAGACCTTTTATAGAATATTTCGTTAGCTATTATTTACTACGAACTTTTCTGTAAGAGACTTCAGTAAAATGTTGAAATAGAATATTGTTAATCGAGTAAAAAATGGTACTCATTGTCTAAGAGTATTATAAAAAAGCATGTGCGCAGGCGAATACTGCAAATCAAACCCTGTGAGTTAAACATTATATTTTTTCTACGACTATCACATAATATTAAAAATTAGTCAAAATGAGAAAATGCTGTTTTGTATTATAACCTCAGAAAAAGATATATTAAAGCTTGTTTCTTTAGGAATATTAATTATTATAGAGGATGAGTCAAACTCTAGAAATGCATATGTCTGAAACCGGATAACATTTTAAAATTTAAACCTATTAAAAGTCATTTGGTCGCTAGGAGTGGGTGATTATCGAAATAAATGATTGATTATTAATAATAATCGATTATTTTCAAAAATCTATTTTTGTTCGTATTTCCTTTAAAATCGACTACTTGATTATCTTTGAAAAATCAAAAATAATAGATTAATTAAAAAGCCAATCAACCGATAAATCAGTGTTTACGAAAAATAATAAACGAATTATCGTTTATTTTAAATAATCGATTATTTTTAAATAATCTATTTTTTTTTTCATATTTCCATTGAAACAGATTATTCGATAATCTTTGAAAAATCTAACATAATCGATTAATCAAAAATAATCGATTAATTAAAAAGTCGAATAATCGATAAATCGATTAAAAAAAATAATTATTTCCTTTAAAATCAATTATTCGATCATTTTTAAAATATCGAAAAATAATCGCTTAATCGAAAATTATCGATTAAGGGAAAATAACCAATTAATAAAGAAGCCGATTCTATAATAAATTGATTTTCCAAAAAAATAACTGAATTATCGATTATTTTTAAATAATCCTTTTGTTTTCATATTTCATTTAAAATTGATTATTTGATTATTTTCGATTAATAAAAAGCTGATAATTCTAAAAAATAACCGAAATATCTATTATATAAAATAACCGATTATATTTGATCAATCGATTATTTTCATATAATCTATTTTTTCGCATTTCTTTTAAAACAAATTATTCGAATACCTTTGAAAAATTGAAAATAATCGATTAATCGAAAATATTCGGTTAATCGAAAATAACCGATTAAGCGAAAATAACCAATTAATTAAGAAGCCGATTCTACGATAAATCGATTTTCAAAAAAAAAAAAATAACTGAATTATTGATTATTTACAAATAATCCTTTTCTTTTTTCATATTCCTTTTAAAATTGATTATTTAATTTTCTTTGAAGAATCGAAAATAATCGATTAATAAAAAGCTGGTTGACCGAAAAATCGATAATGCTAAAAAATAACCGAAATATCTATTATATAAAATAACCGATTATATTTGATCAATCGATTATTTTCATATAATCTATTTTTTCGCATTTCTTTTAAAACAAATTATTCGAATACCTTTGAAAAATCGAAAATAATCGATTAATCGAAAATATTCGGTTAATCGAAAATAAACGATTAATTTAAAAAGTCGATTGAACAATAAATCCATTTTTCTAAAAAAAAAAAAAAACGATTATTTTCAATAAATTGAATATTTTGAATAAATCTACTCTTTTTGTAACCCCTTTATAATCGATTATTCCATTACCTAAAAAAAAACGAAAACAATTTATTGAAAATGTTCGATTAATCAAAAAAAATCGATTTTCATGAAAACGATAAATCGATTATTTTTGTAACTCCTATCGGTCGCATGCTTATATCCGAGCATTTAGCTCCAAAATTTAGAGATTCGGATTTATTGATCCTGTTATCTTTAAAACCGCATTCGATTGTATAATAAATATTGCTAGAATTTATATTTTTTTAGTAAACGAAGATTTTTTTTCGAGTTGTTTATAATGTAACATTTTACTAATAATATGACTAATTTCCGTAACTTTAGTATTTTTTGCTTATACTAGATCATATTGCGCGTTTTACTTTGTTTTAAGACTTGAAGATTCAAATGTCACTTCCGATTTAACCGCAAATAAAATGAACCTTGAAATTTTAAGTAGGTGAACATGTATTTCATCTAATATTCTTGTAAAAATACCTGATAAAGGGCTAAAAACCACCTTTAGTAAATATTCTTATAAAACTACCTTTTAAAAACAAAATTTCGTTAGTGACAATGCCTATTTACTTCTTATTTAGATTAAATGTTTAAAATTTTACCCTTTTGTAAATTAATGCATTATGAAATCTATTTTTTTCTGAAATATTATGTATTTGATGCTTAATATTTGTTGAAACTCCTTAATGCGGATCTGAAGTAATCAGCTCAAAGAATCATGGCGACTTTATGTCAAAACGTCAACAAATATTTACCGCTGAAAACGAATATATTTCTTATTTTTCATAACATTGACACTTATATTATTTTGTATATACAATTTTTCACCATACATCGTGGCATTTTCAACTTGAAATTGAATAACTAAAACACTTTAAATTGCTAATAACACCAACAAATAATTCAAAAAACGGCGGTCCATAAATGATTTACTCACGCGGAGACAAGCATAGAACAGAAATTTCGGAACAATTCGGGTGGCGTCGTGAACACAATGATTTTTAATTGGTGCGCGATGTGCAATGTTACATCTCCGATCTCTTTTATCTAAGGTAGAAGTCTACTGTTATGCGAAACTACCGCGTTTCAAGGTCACTCTACTCATGACGTTTTGCTAGGATATAAGGCAGTGCTGGGACATTAAATAGTGTAGAGATTGATAAAGCAAACCTATAAAATAAAAAGATAAGGAAACTAACTTCATATCAACCTGTAATTGGTCTATATATCTATTAGAATTTAGTATTTATAATGGATATTATAATATGTTATTTTATTGACATTGAAGTTCTAGCAGTCGACCAAACTTCTTATGGAACACATATGCCAGTCCTCGTTGATGCTGGCGGAAGTACTATGGACCAGCAAGTAATCTTTTGGAACCGAGAGCATATCTTGTTGTTGCTCGGTCGTAACATCATATCTGGCTTTTCCAGTACCTCCATATGCACCCATAAATTCTTCAAAGACAAGGTCAGGTGTTTCTTGAAGTTGGTTTACTTCTTCTTCATGGTCACCCTCAAATGGCGCCAGCCTGTTTTGATGCACTACCTTCGGTTTACCATTTGGGATCTTACTTATACCATAAATTACATCATTAATTTTATTCTTGATGAGGTACGGACCTTCCCAAGACCTTTGAAGCTTTGTAGAATAACACTTTTGTCGTTTTGTCGTTTTGTCCAAATGGCATCAAATTGAATTGTCACAATCCAGATCCGGTAGTAAAAGCTTCTTTGTCTACTGGGTCCATTACCACCTGCCAGTATCCAGACTTCAAGTCTAAGTAGAGAATAGTTTACTTCCGGCCAATGTGTCCAAGGTATCATCGATACGAGGCAGAGGGTAACTGTCTTTCTTGGTAACATTGTTCAACTGACGGTAATCCACACAGATCCTCGTAGTTCCATCCTTTTTCTGGACCAGGACTACCGGAGAGACCCATGGTCTGGTAGAAGGTTCTATCACCATGTCTTCCTTCATTTCCTGAATAATTCTTTCAGCTTCCTCTGTCTTTGGTAATCTTCGAGCTGATTGACGAATTGGCCAGGCGTCAACCAGTGTCAATTTTGTTTTTGTTTTTCCTCCTTTTGGTATAAAAATGTCACGATATCGTCGAAGAAATTCTTTTTTTTTTTAATTGATTCAGAGATTGACCAACAACTGCAACCATTTGCTCAAATTTGCCGTTGGAATTATCAGAAATTGTTGTCTGACGAATTATGGAAGTTACTGGTACACAAGTTCCGATTCTGGTCTTTCTTGATTGTAATTGGGTGATCACTAACGTGTATAAGACGAAATGGAATCTCTTTAACAATCGTGACCAACCCTTTTCCGATCAGAATTCCTCGTCCAACCTCTTCATCGTAATTCCAAGGTTCCATCATGACAGGTGTTCCTTCTTCCATAGTTTCTTGTAGCCGTGCTACTATAACGGTTTCACTTCTGCCAGGTACCACCGTATCCTCTTGGACAGCAACTGGCAAGGTACTGTTCCCATATGGATGTAGGAATACATCTTGGAACCAACTTTGATCACTCTGTTCTTAAAGTCTAACTGGAAACCATGTAAGTTCATTATATCCATTCCAAGTATAACATCTTCTTCGTCAGCGACAATAACAGTATGAGTGAACTTTTCTGTACCAATTCCCAATTGAACTTGGATTTCTCCATAGATGTTGGCACTTTTACCTGTGGCAGGCCGCGGTCGCAATCTTGTTGGTAGACCTCTTACGATTATTTATGGTTGTTGGTCGTTTAATGGTCCTAGTTGCTCCAGTATCTACCAACAGTGTATACTGTTTACCATTTACTTCGCCGTCTACGTATACACTATCATCGCGACTTTTTAAAGAGGCTATCAGTATAAGAGAATCTTTGGAACGGTTTCGCGTCGAAGTTACCCCCTCTAGGCCGACCCGCTCTAGTTTTCCTGCGGCGTATTGTCTTCAGTTGTTGGGACCCTAGAGCGTTTGCATGAACTGCGTACATGTCCCAGTACACCGCAATTCGAGCACCTGATGGTCTTTGTCTTTATCTTTTTATAAGTAAAGCTCTTCATTATGTTAACTAGTTGGTCGAGTTTACTTTCTACGTTTTCTTCTTTAATATTCCTCACTTTACTGTATCCTCCAGAAGCCTACGTAGCTGCCTCATACTCTAAAGCAGCGGACAAGACAACGACCAATGTTTTGTGGCGGGCTAAGCGGAGTGTTTTCTACATCTGGTCACGGAGTTCATCAATAAATGTTTTGACTGTCAAACATTCCAGCATGCTTTCCGGAGCTGTTGGGTAAGCAAATAGCACCAACCTGGTAATATCTACTTCATATTCTTGAAGTCTCGTTTCGATTCTGTTTGCGATTTTTTAGCTGTGACTGGTATAAATACTCTAAGTGTTTGTGGCCATATAGCATGTTCAGTCTCTTTTTGAGTTATTTAAAATCATCTGTCTCTTCCACGGGTATAGTCTGAAGAACATCTAAAGCGTCTCCTCGAAGGGCGATTGTCAGATTTACTGCCTTTTCTCTCTCAGACCATTCGTTTGCTCTAGCAGCTGTCTCGAACTATTTAAGGTAGTTCGTCCATGACATCTTCCCGTCAAAAGTTGGGGCTTTAACACGAGCAGAATTTATAGCTCCTTTCAATTTTATGGCACTTTATTTCACCGTCCTTGGTCGGTTCTGTTTGTTCCAGTTCTTCTATTTTCTTTTGCATCTGTTTTATTTTCTCCTCGTCGGAAGACATCTTGTTTTCTACATCAACAGAGATTTCATTTTTTAGAGAAGATATTTTGTTTTCCAAGTCGGAAGAAATTTCGGTTTTTAAAGAAGATTTGTCAGAAGATAAAGATAATATTCTTCGTTTTAGATGGTATGTGACAAAAATATCAAAATCAATAAATGTCGTATAGCAATAGTAATAAATATACATTAGTATTCATAATATAAATACCTGTCATTTGGTAAATAATTCTTTATAAACTCTGGCTGCGTTAAATGACTTGTCCATACTACTATTGAAGTATTCTTATGACCAATCGCCGTATCATAAGCATCCAGATTTTTTCTTTGATAACCTGCCCAGAGGTCTAGATAGGTTTTTTCATTTAAAGGTTTCCCTCGTAAATGTTTTAAAATCTCTGGAGTTGAATTCCAACATGGAATAAAAACCTAAATACAATATTTCTATTTTAAATCCTGCTGAAATGTGTAGTCTAATCCACTTACCTCATCTCCACCCATATGAAACATTCTTCTATCTGGTGAAATATCTGTTATATCTGAATATAAATTCCTTAGAATAATATATAATTTTTCATTCACTGGATTAAGTTGTCCACACGGTGGTTGAACACAAAAACTTCTCCATGGTTGTTTATTAATGCAGACTGCCAGATCACCTAAACCAGCTTCTGGGCCCCATTGCCAGCCCATACCGGCATGGGAAGGACCATCTATTTCTATGATGATTCTTATTCCTCTATACTCTGCGTATTGTATTAGATCTTTGATATTTTCAGGAGTGTAGATTTTTTTTGAACTGTAGGCTCCATATCTACAAGAAATTTAGATATTTAATAATGATTTTAAAGTATTTATTTGACAAATATATATAGGGTGAGCAAAAAAATGATATTTTTTTCTTGCTCTCCGCTTAAAATATCGTAGAATATGTCCGAACAAATATCCTATTAAAAGCGGGGCTCATAATTTCAATTTTAAGAGGTCCTTTATCGAATCTGAAGTTTTACCGCTTAAATAACAGAGAAAAATGATTTTTGTACCTTATTTATTCTGGCAACCAAGGAATTTTTTTTTTTTTTTTATAAAATCGATTACTATATCTTCTAAAGCAGTATTTCCCAAAGTGGTTCAGATGGACCCCCAGGGGTCCACTGGAGACTCGACGGGGGTCTACTTTGGGCGTAATAAAAAATGGGGGTCCACAATCGTAAGCGTGAAAATTAAATTAGTTTCGATAGTGAAGCAATAAATTATTAAACAATTGATTACTCATTTTTCCATATGATGAAGAAATTCTTGTAAAAAACTTCAACTGTTTATAATATAAACAGTCAACATTTTAGTTACTAAAATATTGACTTCTCTTATCAATATAGGCAGATAATATTGTTACGCAGCACCCTGCAGTAGCCTGCGGCTATCATAGGGAACGTACAGATAGAAAAAGAAGTGGAATGTTACTCATCACTCTACAGGGTGCTGCGGTCGTCAGAAATGTCCAGAAATGTCATTACCCGTCAAGAACATTCTAGATGACAGGTCGAGAAGGTTCGAGAAGGTCAAGAAAGCTATATAAGTCGACGACCTGACGTCAGAGTTTTAGTTTTATGATAGACGTTATACGTGAATGTTATCAGTTGTAAAGTTATTGTCAAAGTTGAATTATAGTTATTGTAAAGTTCAGTTGAAATTTGTGATACCAAAAACCATCGTAACAATATTTTAAGAAGCTCAGCGACTGTTACTTGTAAAAACTTGCATATTCTATATTCAGTACAACGCGTCGAGACTTGTCGTTGCCGCGCCGGCTGCCGTCCCGCCCGCAACACTTGTTCAGACATTCAAATTAATACGACTTGTGGTGTATGTGCTTGCAATCTTGCATTAACGTGTTTTATTCTTCACCAATATAAATACGAATGTCAAGGATAATCGTTACTCATTTGTTTCTGGAATTTCATAAAGAAAAGTAAATTGATATTAGTGTTGACAGTGACTGAATTTGTTTTCAGATTTTCGAAAAGAAAAGTAAAGTGAATCGATATTAGTGATTGCTAGTGTTGGAAAAGTTAGAACTTACCTGCCTATTTGTTATAAGCATATAGTTTTAAGCCGAAAGAGATAGAACTTATCATCCCTACTTTATTTTTATTATCTATCTAATTCATTTAATTATTGCGGAGTTTTGATATCAAAATATTGTTTAAAAGTTTCTATAGAATTTACAGAAATATACTAAAATATATTAAATGAAATAATAATTTTATATCACATGTTTAATAATATACATATGTACTGAGAGACAGCTGAATAGCCACTACCAAAGAACGTCATTCAGACATTGGTTAGCACGTGGCGCCCTCTCTCCATCTTCATCAATGTCGTGAACATTTCATGTAATTCATGTTACCAATTTGATCAACATTACTTTATTAAATAATACAAGTATTTAATTGTTTAATTGGTATCTTCTTCCAAGAAATATAAATTCATATTAAACATCAGGCACCCACCTTAAAATAAGTTCAGCCCCAGCTGGCACATAACGTTACCAAGCCTTTCGGCGATGTTGTTTTAAGGGAACATAATAACATACCCATACAACGTAATTGCAACGTTAATGAGAAGTTGTTGAGGGAAATCAAAACCTCGCGAAACATCTATTTGTTACTTACGTATTTAACCTGCCTGTTATGATAACACAACGTAATTAAGTAACTTGCTAAAAAAGTTTCCACGAGAAGTACTGTGAACTTTCGAACGTAGCCATTCGTTTGTCATAACCAACAAAACATAAAAAAATGTCACGTGTCACTTTTTCTTGTACGTATTTCAGATTTTAAAGAAATTGGAAACTAATAATCCTTCCTTCATGTTGGAAACTATACGTTTGAATAAGTTTGGTAAGTTGTTTTCTTCTTTTCAATAAATTTTCTAATTTATTGTCTGTTGTTTTAGATGGTAAAATTTCAATTTCCAAATACAATAAAAAATAAATCATTGTAAACAAGTAGATACAATTAAATGATGAAATATTTATTTTACACGATAATAGGGATCTTATTGATGCCTTAATACTATAGAAGTAACGATATTAAACAATGAAAGTATCGATATTTAGGCACTGAATTACCAATACTATCGCCATAGTGATACTTAGAAGCAAGTATTGTATCGGTATGTGTGTGGTCAGAGATTATAAGGTTTGTTCAAATATTTGTACTGAAATATTTTAGTTTTTGCAAGTGGTGAAACTTAGTAATATGATTAAGCGTTACCACTGTTTTTTTGTTATTTAATTATAAAGTAAATTGCCAGTTATTGACACTATAACTTGTACCAGGTAGAGTACCAGTAGAGAAAGAAAAGGTGTCGACTACAGAATATACTTTACTGATGCACTCTTGTTATTAGTTAAGTTCCCTACTCCGTCCTGTTGAATGGGGGTTGCCAGCCGTTTAACAAAAATCTTTTTCGATACTTTGTTACTCGAGACTTATAAATATCAATATCTTTAACATAATATCGAACGGTATTGATACCTTTGACCGATACTCAACCCTACTCCCAATTATAAAAATACAAAAACAGAGAAGTCATATACTGCCATCCTAACAAGAGAAGTCCTATCTGAAAATTTATATTTATTATCTTTTAAACCTTTTTTTGTGTAACTTTTTAACATTTTAGTACCTTTGTTACAAATAAGACATTCCTTTTCAGTATTGAGAAAGATAAAATGTAGACAAATGCACATAAAAAAAACTGCTAATTTTGCAGATAAAACCTTTCTTGCTAGAACAGCAGTATAGAAGTGCTCATGTAGTTCACTAAAGATAAATAACATTTAAATTTGTTACGTTTCAGTAAATTAAGTATTACCATTGCTGGACAGTAGTGACGTTTTGGTGGATAAATACAGCATTTCACTGGATATATATACCTATGCCATTTTGCTGTACGTTTGCTGCACAATACGAATTGCTGGACAAACTTTAAAAATGCTTTACAATACAGAAAAATTGCTGTAAGTATGGTCGCCCTAGTGTAATATTTTAATCACTAAAAATAAATTTTAAAAATATTGTGTTTTAGGTTTCCTTTGTGCTGGATTATAATTCTAGTAAAAATCTCAGGAATTTTAGAAGCTAAAGTTAATACAGAATTGGTTGAAGAATATATAACATCTGAGATTATTTCTTTTTCTTTCATAGCAGAATATCATGCTAAAAAACATTGTTCTGTATAAGTTGAACATCCATTATTAAGTATCAAATTTGTAAAAGTCAAAATAAATGTTATTATTTATTTAAAAAAACAAAGTAAGTAAAAATCAACTAAAAATAGGTGCAACGATTTAATCGAGCATATTTTTTATTTTCTATATATATATATATATATTATTTTCTTAATAATAATTAAACAAGTAAATTTATTATCTACAAAGTTATTTTTACGGAAGAAACTATGTAATTAAGTTCACATATTTATTTGTTTACAGTACGCTACTGATATATAAAGTTCTAAATGGTTAAAATATCAAAATAAAATAAAAAAGAAATTAATAAAATTGTCACAGTATAAAAATGAAGTCAATAGTGTAATAAAAGTTGACACTTTAAAAAATAAACCTTTTAAAATGTCATAATTTGAAAAATACTTATTGTAATTGGACATCAGTTGGTCTACAAATAAATTCTATCCATAGTTAGTTATATGAGCATTTACATAAAATAGTTTCATATGCCTAGTAAGTCTGGCAGGAACAAGGAATCTAATAAAGTGTACCAGGCTGTCACTATCAATCAAACCGTTCAATAACTTATACAGGAAAACAAATGATGCTTCTCGACATCTGCATTCCAAATTCTTATAGGTCCCTCTCAAAAATAACATTAAGATCATTTATAGTTTGCTCAAAACTTAGTTCAGAACCTGCAATGACAATCATGCATAATGATATTAGCTGTTTTATTAAACCATATGACTTTACATTTATCAATATTCAGTTTATATCATATTAAAACTATGATTAGTACCAGTTGTAGGCAAATATCTTTTTTTAGCATCCTACAACTGCCATCTTAATAAAAATCTAGTGACTTTTGAAATATACCTTATATAAATACACTTTTTACTACTTTTGTACAATCGTGCACCATTTTAGCTACCAGTGAACCTTTGCAATATAGGTACCTTATTATACTCTTTCGTGCAAGCGTTTAGTGTTTTCGATTCTAGTGAACCTTTGAGATATTCCTTATATACCCTTTATGAGATATTCCTTATATACCCTTTATACCAACTTTTGTCCAATTTGTCAGTGTTTTTTTTACCTATATTATTAATACCTACCTCTACTTGTATGATATTGGTTCTTGATTTCAAAAGCTTTTTAATAATAAATTTATACAATTTTTTATTTTGTTTTCTTCAGATTTTACTATATCCTCAATATACTATTTTGAATATAGTGTATCCAAGGATGGTCATAACTATACTTGTAAAGATATTTATTTTAAATTTTTCAGAAGGTCTTTTTCATAATTTCTCAACGTTAATCGTATTTATTTAACAAGCAAAAGAAATTATGAAGAAGTACTTTTAAATTTAAAATAAATATTTTTACAAGTATTGTTAAGTCCATCCGTGGACACACTGTATAATGCTGTAGAATTAATTCACATTATAACATCTATAGAAAGTTTCAGAGCAACTTTCAGGGTAAGTACCGTAAAAGTGCTAGTGTGATGTTTTACGAACTTCACTTTTTAACTTCTGGTAGATGTGCTATAAAAGTCTTGCCGTTGC